CTCTGCTGCCCGGGGCCTGCTCCCTCCTTTGGCCCCTGCCAGTGACTTCGCACTCACCAGACCTCTCAGCCCTGCCGGTCCCCACGGTCCCTCGCGCAGATAGAGCAGGCCGGGACCGGGGCGGCCGCTGGAAGCGTGGGGGGCCTCACCCGCTTGCTCGAACGCGGGGCTTTTGCAGCTTGGAGAACTGCCGCCTCACAGAAGCCTTGTGCAAGGAGCTGGCTCCTGCTCTGGCCGTCAGCCGGACCCTGACACACCTGTGCCTGGCCAACAACGGCCTGGGGGACGGCGGGGTGAAGCGCCTGTGCGAGGGCCTGAGCTACCCCGAGTGTAAACTGCAGGCCCTGGGGTAAGCCCCCCTGGCTGGTGTGTGCTCTCGGGATGGAAGGCAGCGGGCAGAGGCCGCGCCCCCACTCCGAGCTGTCACTTCCCGCCGGCCTGGGGCCCGTGGCCCGGGCCAGAGTGGCGCCCTCGCCCGCGCGTCCCCGCCACAGTGGACTCCACAGCCCTCTCTCACGCTCGTCTCGCAGGCTGTGGCGCTGTGACGTAACCAGCCGTGGCTGTGCACACATCTCCGAGCTGCTCCAAGGCGGCTGCGGCCTGAGGGACTTGGACCTGGGCCTTAACCCCATAGCTTCCGGGCTGTCGTTCCTCTGTGAGGCTTTGAAGAAACCCAGTTGCAACCTAAAATGTCTGGGGTAGGTGCCTTTGTCCCGCTCGAGCTGCTCGGGAAGTGCTCGCCGTCTCTGAGGTGTTCCGGAAGGCTGAGGCCATCGCACCTCGGCCGCTACTGCGGAGCAAGCTGCAGAAGCCGCGTCCAGGCGGCGGGGCTCACCGCGGGGCTCAGGCCTGGGGGCTGGGGGTGCCTCCGTCAAGTGCATTCAGGGAAGACGCGCCCGCTGGGCGTGGGCGACCTCGGGACTGGGAGGGAGGACACGGGGCTGGCCCCAGCCCACCCCTGAGTGAGGGGCCAGCCCGCCGCACTTGCTGCTGAGCCCGGGCCAGGGCATCTTCCTGACGCAGTGCACGCGACAACCAGATCCCTCGTGGAAGGGCCTGGGCTGTGGGCACGCTTCCGGGTCTCGCAGAGGCCAGAAGAACCGGAGGGTCCTGGAGCTGGGTGTCCTGGCTGTCCCTGGGGACGACTAAAATTCTGACAGCTCTCCCCGGAATAATTCACTGGAGGAGGTGTCAGAGGTTTTTCAAGGCATTTCAGATACGGAATTCCAGTCAGATGCAAGCTTCTTGGAATAGAAGTTGGATCCCCTAATTCCAAAGACTGGGGTTCACCTTTCTGGATCTCAGATCAAGGACACAGTCCCCTAGAAAAACGGGCCTCAGGGCCCTCCCTGGTGGCGCAGCGGGTTAGGACGCAGCACTGCAAGCCGGCCGTAGCTGCTTCAGTGTGAGTTCAATCCCCGGCCCAGAGGTGACCACAGGGCGCGGCAGACCTCTCCTGGCCCGCCCGCTGCTCCCTCAGCAGTGGACTTCGTCCATCCGCCTGTCCTGCTCCCCGCTCTCTCTGGTGAGGCCTCTCACGGCCCCTGCACCTCCGGCCTGTACCCCAGTTCTGTATGAATAAATCTTTAGAAAAGATCGGGGGCTACTCAAGGGCCTCGCTATCAGAATGGGCTTCAGGTCCATCTGAAACATCCCACGGCGACTTCTGACGTTCGCTCTCCCCCGAGGGAAAGACCTGCGTGTTTCGTCCTTAGACTGTGGTCTACGCCAGCGTGTCCCGACGGCCACCAAGCAGGCTCTGCTCCCGCTTCTTCAGCACGAGGTCCCCAGAGGCGAGTGTGTGCCTGGCGCACCAGCTCCCACCCGCGTCTTTCCCAACAGGCTCTGCGGCTGCTCGGTCACCGCCGCCGGCTGTCCCGACCTTGCGTCGGCTCTCAGCGGCAGCCGGGCACTGGAGACGCTGGACCTGGCGCAGAACGACCTGGGGCCGAGCGGCGTGGTGGCGCTCCTGGACGCCCTGACGCACAGGACCGGCCCCCTGAAGACGCTCCGGTAGGGGCGCGGAGGCGCCGGGCGGGTGTCCCGGGCGGAGGGGGCCGTGGGTGTTTGTGGAGTCTCCTTTCAGCAGCCTCCTCCCTAGCTTAGAGCCCTCTTGCTGGCGACCCTCCAAAGCTACATTGAGCCGAATGTAGGTGACGCTCCGCACGACACACGTCACCACATCCAAAGGAGGGCAAGTCCTTCCCCCTGGTGACTCTCAGCCACAGAGCTCTGGATCGTTCTTTTGGCAACATGTATCTAAATTTCCCCTCTGGCCCCTGGGGAGCCTCTGGGAAGGGCCGGGGGGCCCCGCGCGCAGCCCGGATTTTGCCCGTGATGTTTTGCTGTGTACACGGGGCACCGTCACCCTCAGTAGTGATGCGGGAAGGGCTGCGTCCCAGCAGGCTGCACTGATGGAACAGGGAGTGGGCCAGGCGCGGCCTCTCGTCCAGGGCCCGTACCCCAGCCCTTTACCTTCTCCGCTTCCATTACGGGTCGTTCTGTCTCCAGACGCAGAGGTTTGGTGCTGGGGCTGTTCCGCTGATTGCCCTGAGCAGCAGAAGTTACAGCTGCAGAGCACATCTGGGCAAGGAAAGCAATAGTCAGCCTTGAGTGAGACGGTGGAGCTGTGCTCCTTCAGGGGAGCATCGGCAGTTGCTTTTCAAACTGGATTAAGGTTTTAGGGGGACACACTCCAGGACTGGGGTACGGAGTCTCGTGCTCCTTTCGCCACCAAGGCCAAGGCCCTGCACCCCAGGCACCAGCGGGCGAACTCCAGCCTGGTGCTTTTACGCCGTGGTGGACTTTGGGCTGACCTCTGCCCTTGTCCCCTCGGTCACCACCCCGTGTCCTCACCCCACACCCTCACAGAGGGCCACACTGCGCCGAGTTCTTTCTGTGTTTATATGAAACCCTACTCTGCGCGTCCAGGGCATCTTTTCACGAAAAGCTGCCCGCGGCGAGTGACTAGCAACAGCTGTGGGCGCTCTTGCGGCTCAGAGGGGGAGCCGCAAGGCAGCGGGCTGTCTCCCCTCAGGCTGGAGGCGGGTGCGTGCAGCGCGGGCGTCCAGCGGCTGCTGCGGGAAGTGAAGGAGAGCAACGCCCGGCTGACGGTCGAGTGGGAGGCCGCCAGGACAAGCAGGTGCCGGTGCTGCAGCCGCCCCGTGTGAGCGCCAGGGCACCCCGCAGGGCCGGGCCACGGCAGAGGGCGCCGGAGCCCAGGCGAGGGCCAGAATGAGCCGCGCGCAGTGGCTCGCCGCCCGCTGCCGATGCCCGCTTCTCCTTACAAGGGCAGCCACAGGCACAGGCTCTCGCGGCGAAGTCTGCACTTCCCCTGTCTGGGCGTGACGCCAGCCCGAGTGCCCACGACCGCGCTCCCTCCTCCCGCCCTTCACCCGCCTCCCGCCTTGGCTCCCCCTCTCCCACCCCCTGCCATGGAAATCAGCCTTTGCCGAGGCCCTCCCCACCCGGCCCTCCCCACCCGCTGCGGCACTCCTGGGGGAGGCAGTGGAGTCCTCTGGGACTTTATTCAAGAAGTAGCCCGGTGACCACACCTGAGGGGAGCAATCAGCATGGCCCCAGTGAACGGGGGTGGAAGACAGAGTGCGCCACTGAACAGCGGCGCGAATAAACAGTGCCCCGTGCTGCCACTTACTGCGTGCGTATTCCTGGCGCCGACTACTCGGGCGGTCTCACCCACGCCCAGTGTTCCCACGAGCTTCGGAGGGAGTGGAATTCTGCTCTGAGGAGGTTGATACGGAGAAGTGAAAACCCCGTTGATGAAATCAGGGCGAGTGATTCAGGGTGAAACTATGCTAGACTATGACACAGACATCGGCTCTGGTTAATGAGTCAAGCTGAAAGCTTAAATGACACAACATTTCATCACTTTTTGCTCCAGGATTACATTTTAGTCAGTGACGCTGTCTCCCAACAGTTCTTACCCGCTGTCTTATAGTCTAAGGATTTAAAACCCCACATTAAAAACCTTCAGGTGAGACAAAAATATCTTTTTTAAAATCTAAGTTTTAGAGGCTGAACATTATATTAGGGAGTATCTGTCTTGGGGGTGATGTTGGTTTAAACTCGGTCTGGTTAGGGGTACAGACTTACACTCTGGAGATGCATGTCACCCCCTCATGCCCTTCTTAGCCTGCTAATTCTGCCTCTAAGCTTAGTCTGAAAGAATAACTTGGCCGGCACACAAGTGAAGCACAGTTCTCATCGCTCTTTCCTGGGTTTGGCTTGGTCCTCGCCCTGTGCCGGATGTGACCACCAGGTCTTCACAGCCAGCACTCCTGTGGCTCTGCTTGACGCCAAGTCATTCCCTTCTCTCCAGAACTTCTTTCAGGGAGCTGTTCTGTTTAGGTACAGATTTCCTTTTGCTTATTTCGCACTAGCTTCTAATACTGCTCAGGATTCAGACATTTTGGGGGGGAAATTGAGTCTTTTCTTAACCTTCCATATTGTGTCATTTATCTCCCATAAAGACATACCATGGCGGGGGATGATGACTGAAAAATCTGAGTTAGACCCTCCGCTGAATACTCTAAATACATTTTGGTTGAAACTTTCAAATCCTATTATGGTGTCTGCCAGTACCCGAAGTCGACGGCCGGAGGCGGCACAGCCTCTAAGAAGCGCGGGAAACCAGCGCCCACTGTACTGCCTGCGGCTTGCGCCGGCGGCCCCCCTGGTTCAGACGCCTTGGGGGTCTGGGGCAAACCAGGGCACTTGGAGGGTGTTTGCCACTCACGGCTCTGGGTAATGCTTCCCTGCTGCACTAGGGGGCGCTCCGGGCAGCCAACTGGGGGGCAGCTGCTCAGCGGCACCAGCAATGGCCCCACCACAAACAGCAGTTGGGGACCAGAGTGGGACCCCTACCCCTGAGGAGAGGGAGGCAAGAAGGGGAAGCTCGCGTCACGGCCGGGGCAGCCAGCTGTGGCACATTCCAGCAG